TTTACCTTCCCGCCAGTAATCGGTCCCTATTTATCTACTTGCACCCGGGGGTGCTTTCGAACTGCTAGGTTGGCAGGCGCTGGGACCGAACAACAGGAGCGCACCCCGCCGCGGGGATTCGAACCGCCAATCTTTCGATCGGCAAGCCCTAGGCGCTGAGACTTTTACCCACAGCGCCACCCGCGTCCCATAATCCAAAACTTAGAGGGGATGTAATGCAAGTGACTTGTGAGCACATCTGTGCAATTTCATATATTGCTCATATAATTCATAGATTGCCAGGGAAGAAATTCAGTTCAGTTCACCTTTTAATGTGAACCCATGTAATTCGCACTTCCCGAAACAATATACAAACTGAAATGCAGCTGTCTTTTGAAATTTGCATGGTGTCTGAATTTTGTGGTGCAGTTCTCCAACCCAAAAATGTGTACACGGATGCACATATTAGGGAAAAGCATGCATTAAAAATACATAGATAAGTGAAAACAGCATACAAAAGTGAATTATATTAGGGAAAATGGCTTGCAAGAATACTGTATGTTTATTAGGCAAAATTGCATAGAAAAATGTGTAGATTAGGCGAAATGCATAATAAAGTCCTAACAAGGAAGAGAGAGAGAGAGAGGCAGACAGAAAGACACATACAGAGAGAGAGAGAGAGAGAGCGAGAGAGAGAGAGAGCGCTGATATGGAAATGTGCAGAATTGAATTTAAGATTTAAAAAAAGAAGAAATGGAGAGAAACCAAAAATTGTCCACTCCTGGTGGTGTGGGAATCACTTCAGAAATGTAACATCTTGTGCTATTTTGGTAACATCAGCAGAAATAAACCACATGTGTCCAATGAATGACATGACTATTCTGGGCAAACTTTGGCATGACAAAAATGGACCTGTTGGGACAGAGCAACTTTGGTAGCGTCTGGAAGAGTTTGCACTCTGCGTGATGCGACAAGAAAGTGAACCTGTACACCCTCCCTCATGGCACATAGAAACTGGCACTACACTCATGACCTGTAATGATAGGGAGCCCACGCCATTGGCTCCTGACAGAACCATCAGCAGCCTGAGAGAACTTCTGTGGCAGCCCCTCCACCATCTCGCCTGGGGCTGCTTCTGACCTTTGTGACCTGAGCAAAGACAGAAGCGAGGGGACCCAGGCCAGGGAGCTTGTGCCATCAGCTCCCACCTGCCTTAAGAGGACTTTGTCACTCAACATGTGGTATCATTTATTTAGTTTAGTACAGTGGTACCTCGGGTTAAGAACTTAATTCGTTCTGGAGATCTGTTCTTAACCTGAAACTGTTCTTAACCTGAAGCACCACTTTAGCTAATGGGGCCTCCCTCTGCCGCCGTGCCGCTGATGCATGATTTCTGTTCTCATCCTGAAGCAAAGTTCTTAACCTGAGGTACTATTTCTGGGTTGGCGGAGTCTGTAACCTGAAGCGTATGTAACCTGAAGTGTCTGTAACCTGAGGTACCACTCTATTGTGAAGGCAGGATGAAAATGCCACAAATACGGTAAAAAGATTCCAATGTGAACAGGCCTCTCTTGTGTGACACTTTCTTCTGTGAAAAGAGATGTATGGTTCGAATAAATGAAATTTGTGCACATAGGCATTTATTCACAGGGTTTGTTCTTAACAAGGAAATGTATACATGGCCCAAAGTGTATGCAAACGAAGGCATGAAATTTATTTCATGTATGTCTTCCATGTTCTGGCCATGTGCGGACCATCCCTCATTAGCTGAAGGAACTTCAAATGTTCTCTTGGATAACCACACTGTGAGAATGTGCCGTCTCATGTGTCATGATTTTGACCCCTCCCCCTTTAATGTCTCTCTCTTTCCTTGCTTAGTATTGTTCAAACACATGCTTTTCATTCATCAGTTTTGTAATGAGTGTTTGGATCTGTGAATTACAGCTCGCTTTTCAATTGCCGCTGATGCATTTTTGCCCTTTTGCACTGATGAAGGATTTCATTTAGTTGTGTGGAGCAGATTGAAAGCGGCTGCTTTGATTTTCTTTCTTTCTTTCATGTTTTCAGGGCTGGGAAATAATTCCATGCCTTTTTCAGAGCTCTGCCGGCCACATTTTAAGAATGATATGGTTTGCAGTAGCGCTAATTAGCGCCAATAATAGCTTGACTGTCTTGCATTGTGTTTAGCCTTGGAATTCTTGACTGTTTTGAATGTGTGTGTGTGATGCACATTTGTTCATAGTGACCATTTGGCCTGAAAAACTGAAACTTGGCTGAAAATTGATCCAGCTGAACTTTACAACAGAGTTGCTGGGAAGTTGGTTGTAATACATAGTTCATGCTTTTTATTACTGGGGCCTAATTCATGCTGTTTTGAGAATTATAAGGTCTAAGATATAAAATAAATGTTCAGGCAAACTCATACATAAATATATAATCCACATGTCTGAAAACAGTACAGGAAAACAGTCCTAAAGCTCTTTCAGTGACCTCAAATATTCCTCTGCAGTTTGGATGGAAATGGGAAAAGCCTCCCCAATGTCTCTGTGCTCACAAATCCTGCCTTAAGGGCACATTTGTGTATGAATAGGGTGAGCCTGTGACCTGGACTCAGGAATTAAGTATTTATCATTACAAAAGAATGACCAGGCTGTCCAGGTAAACCCATTAACAGGTTTCCTGCCAGACAGGATTCTGCTGTAGACCGCCCCTTCTGTGATGTATGTATGATGTATTGAGGGGTGGTCTTGAGCTACAGGGTGGCAATTTCAAGAGTCTATATAAGGGCTTGCGCACCACTGTTCTGGGTTCCTTCTCCCTTCTGCGTGGGGTGTGTGTGTGTGAGCACCCTGTTGCAACAGTTTAATAAAAATCATGCTTACTAGCTGTTTTGCTTCTCAATATTCTCTGGTTGGCCTCTGTTATTTTCTCCTACCAATAGAGAACCTACGTACAGGCTCTTGGGTACCCCATAAGGGGAAAGGAGCAGTTTTTTCTTATAACAACGCTTACTGCTGTCTCCCTGCAAAGTACAGGCTGAAAAGCAGCACCAAGGCTTAGGAATGTGCTCTCTCTTCTCCACTCTCTGCCCCCCCTTTTTTGCACATTGATTTTAACCATGATTGGTGGAACATTTGCATTGCCATGGTTCTTGGTCGCTCAGATGCTCAGCTCTAAATACAGTGGTACCTCTGGATGTGAACGGGATCCGTTCCGGAGCCCCGTTCACATCCTGAAGAGAACGCAACCTGCGTCTGTATGTGTGTGGGTCGCTATTCGCTGCTTCTGCGCATGCACGTGACATCATTTTGAGCGTTTGCGCATACGTGAGTGGCAAAACCTGGAAGTAACACATTCCATTACTTCCGGGTTGCCGTGGAGCGCAACCTGAAAACGCTCAACCTGAAGCAACTTTAGCCTGAGGTATGACTGTACTTGTAAGGTCCAGCCTTCTACAGCTTAGGAGGTAGTAAGTGCCTGGAGCAGAAGAAACATTTGGTAGAATAGGGCTGCCATTTATTGGAAATTATTGCTGACTGATCATATAAGGTCTACCCATAATTGTTGGCATCTTTCTGTCTTGGAAGACAATGAATGAGTGTGCCTATAAATACAGACTGTAAGATTACAAAGACTCTCCTCCCTGGAAGAGAGGGGAGTGGTTGTGGGCGGGAGACCGAGCTCCGCCCCTGGTAGGGGGCCTTAGCCCCCTCCCCTCCTTACCTGGCTGGCGCCCACGCCCACTGGAGGCAGCCAACCAGGTGCCTCAGGGGGGCGTGTGTAGCAGCTTAATGCTGTGGCGCCAGCTCCGCCTCCTCCTCATTCGTCGTCGTCCCTCAGCAAGTCAAGAGCTCAGCCATGAGGTTTGGAGTCGGGGGGGTGTTTGTGTGTGTGGAGGCTGTCTGGTTCCTGGCTTGCCTTTTTAAATTTAGGAGGCTTGCATGCGCTCATTGCTTTACTGCTTTTAAAAAACCTAGGCACCCAAGTTTGCCTTGCTGTCTTGCTGTGTCCTCTTTTCTGTGTAAAAACCTACATTTTATTTTCCCCCACTCCTGGTGCTGGATTTGTTTGGGCGGTTTAAGTGTGAATTATCTTCTTAAGCTGCAGCTTTTTCCTTTGCCCAGCACATGGTCTCTCCACCACCAGTGAGGTCTGAGTGTGAGTGCCTTCTTTCTATCTCCCTTGTTTCCTCACTTTCCTTCCCTGGCCTCTGCCTTGGTGGCTGTGCATTTTATCTTAATTTTGGCCAGGGTGCCTGTTTGTTTTTTGTTTTTCCTGCAATATGTATAATCAGTGAGACCTTGAAGAAATATCCTTATGTTGTATAAATCAGGCTGTATGATTTACGCTGCTATCTCAGTGAGACCTTGAGAAATATCTTGTGTGTTCAGGGCATCCCTTTAATTCTGACATTTGTTCCAAAGGCATAACTATTGTTGGCCCCTTACAGATCCTTCAATACGTTTTAAGTACCAAATAAGGTGAAGCAAATATTGAAAGCTTACAAAAAAAAGAAAAAGATTTTTTCCTGAGTTCAAAGTGAGTGCTTTTGACTTCTCTGAGAGCCAGTGTGGTGTAGTGGTTAAGAGCAGTGGACTTGTAATCTGGTGAACCGGGTTTGCGTCTCCGCTCCTCCACATGCAGCTGCTGGGTGACCTTGGGCTAGTCACACTTCTCTGAAATCTCTCAGCCTCACTCACCTCACAGAGTGTTTGTTGTGGGGGAGGAAGGGAAAGGAGAATGTTAGCCGCTTTGAGACTCCTTCAGGTAGTGATAAAGCGGGATATCAAATCCAAACTCTTCTTCTCTGGCTGCTTTTGATTTTGGGATGCATCAGATCCCAAACAACATAAGGGATAATCTGTCAAAAACGGTAGCATGTTACCTAACAAATGCTCTCAGATACAAAATATTGTCACATGCAACCCATCATGCAGAGGATGTCAAATACAGACATCAAAGATTCACCAAGATATGCGTGAGAGGTTTTCTTGAGGTATGTTTTATTTGTTCTCTTGCAGAAGGGTCCAGTCTCCTCACTGGCCAGAGCCACGATATGATGCAACTGGGGCCCAGAAAGTTACTGTGTCAGCACCACAAACCGGATAATGAAAAGAAAAAGACATTCAGGTAAATAAACATTTAATGATCTATTTGTTGTGGGTGGATCTCTTTTAAGCATAATGCTTGTTAAGTCTGCTCGATGTTGTGCTACTGTTGCCCATTTAGGTCTCTTTCTCCTGTTTCTGCCCTCCTGTCCCCCATTGCATTATTTGTGTTCTGGATTATATTTCCCTAGATGGCTTTTTGTGTCTTCCGCCCTCTCTCTTTAAATTGAATCTCATGTTGCTGTCTTCTGCCTATTAATCTTTTTTGGTTCTCTTTGTGTTTCTGCCTACTGAATGGATGGTCACAACTCCTCCTAATTTATTATCCTCTACAAATTTCATTAATGTAGTAAATTATTAGGAAGATATTAAATAAAAAAACAGACCTCATTACAGTATCCTGGTAACTACCTCAACCTGTGTTATTGAATTTTTTGCCACCAGGGTACAATAACAGACCTGCAGTTTAAAACAAGCAGAGCACAAAGTGAATTCCCCATATTTTGCTTTCCTTCTTTCACAGCAGTGAAATTATCCAGTGGAGATTTGGTACTGGAGGGTACACTGTACCCATATCTTTCTATCACCTATCTATGAACTGTATCTCTAATATTGAATCTCTGGTATCCTATATATTTTCCATTCACTCTGATTACCAGTAATGTTGGATTTGTAATTTCTTGTCAGAAGAACCACCAAAGCTTAATGGTCGAACTTAATATGCCAAAGGTCTCTAGTTCATCTCCAGATAGCACATCTTGGGTAGCAAGTCTTGGAAAGACCTCTATCTTCTTTAGCGGCTGCTAGTCAGAGAACAGTATTAGACTAGGATGGACCAATGTTCTTGATGATATAAGGTGAACCATTGATGCATTTCTTAGTGCAGATAGTATTGATGTGATGTGTAGAGATCTTTCCTATTTTAATTAATTCAAGAGGGTCCAAGAAGCTCCTGGAAACTTCTCTGTGTGAAAGAAGCAAGCAGAAGGTTTATGATGTTTGGGTTATTCCTTCAGAGAAGCTGAGTACAGCTGGTTTAAACTGGTTCTGTTAATCTCTTTCTGTCAAGGTCATGCTGAGTATAATAGTAGGGCCAGAAGGAGCATGAGTTCCTCACTTTCTCTTTCTATCTCTTTTCCGTCTGGTGTGGTGTTCTGTATGCTATAGTGTTAAGTTTTTGACTTATTATAAGTTATTGTAAGTTTTAAGTTAAGTCTGCTGCAACTGGATTTCTTATGGACAGTGCCAGTCCTGAATGTATTAGAATTGTGACCATTATGCTCACTTGCCTTCAGTAGCAGTAAAGCTCTGCTAGATGAAATATAATTGCCTCTAGTCTATTTTTTGGGAATCTTGCAACGTGTTTAAGTTTTTACTCTGCTAACTATACATTGGCTTCTGCTCTGAATCAATACTGAGTAGACTTTCACTGGCAATGTGAGGGGAAGTGAGAGGTACACAGATGGTTCAGGCAAAGAAGATGAAAGGCCTTTGAGTAGCTTCTCCATGGAAACCAATGGCATTGCACAGAGATAGGTTGATGGTTGTATGGCCATGTACCAAGACATAATTTACCAGACTATCTAGTCAGTCACCATTATTGCCCTGCTAAGTGAGGCAATATGGTTCTGCATCTGGTCCCAATCCAAGGAAGCAGAGGTGCAGTAAGATTTTTTCATCACTAAACAGGAACATTACTGATGATCAGCTCACTGAAGGCATCAACGTATCAATGCCATGCATGTGATTATTATTATTATTGCATTATTTGCTGCATTTGTATCCCACTTTGAGCACACCCTACCAGCTGTCCACAGACATATTGCTTGTGTGTTCCATATGCAATGACTTCTAGCAGTGCGATTTTTCTTGAAAAAGAGGTGTTGGAACTCACCATGAACACCTCCTTCATTCCCTTAGAATGGCAGTGGTGCCCACCTGAGAGGTGACGGAACTGAGTTCCAACAAGTTCTGGCTGGAAAAAAAGCCCTCGTCTTTAGGAAGTTATCACATGGTAAGTTGTCATTTCTGCTTCTTCTGTTGCCTGGAGATATTGCATGCTAAAGCCTCTATTTTGTGACTTCTCTATGACTTGCTTTGTCATAACTAACATGGTTTAGAAACAAAAATAATCGTACATGGAATTAATTAATAACAACATAATTTTTAGTGGTGTGGCAGTAATATTGCTGCATGGCTGTCAAATTTGGGTCCTCTTTAGGATCAACAATTGTCCTGAAGAAGTTGTCACAAGGAAGCTATGTTTGGAATGTGTTGTTATCAGCCTAATTATGGCAGCTAATTTGCATAGTATAATCCCATGTGCTGAAGCAGTGGAATAATGCAGCAGTGGCATCTTAGGGTATGGATTGTCAGCTCCATTCAGAAATTGAGGGAAAATTTTCCCAGTGTGTTTTGACAGCATCTTTGACAAAGGTAGTTATTCATGTTATTCCTTCCTTTTTAAAAATAAATATAAAGGAGGGGGGAGATACATACTACAGTAATTTCAAACATATATTTTTGAGATTTCCTCAGTCTGTAGCTTTTCGTTGTGCAGGTTCCATGATAGACTGAACTGAATATTTCCCCTCTTAATAAAGACAGAGTTGAATGCGTTAGGAACTTTCCACTTCTTGCAGCTGACTTTTGCGTATGTGCTTGTGTGGTGCATTAGAGCTATTTTTATCTCCCTCTTTTTAATCTCTTTTTCCTTTGTGCTGGATCCCTTTCTGGTGAAGTGCTCAAGGGTACAGAGTTGATAGGGAAAATCTCCTCCAGTATTTATCAGAAGAGAAATTTTTTGACAATTTTTGAATGTGGTCCCCCCCCTTCAACTATTTCCCTGGAGAATATTTGGCAAGGTGGTCTCCCTGCTCTTGCCATCCACAAGAAGCTGAGAGCTTTTTACCAACCTCCCATGTTGCATCATTCTGTTTTATTCCACACCCCTCTCCCCACATGTGTTCACATGCCTGCAACGTGCCCTGCCTAGATTTAGGGTTATGATTCTGTCCTCCCTGTTGGAGTTGCTTCTCTCTGCTGGCAACTCTGCTAGGGGAGTGTTTTCTGCTCCTCCTCCTCCAGTCCACTTTCTTTTCCAGCCCTCCATTCTTTTCCTTGGCTCAGTTCAAACCTCTAATACACTTGCCCCCTATTGCTGGCAGTTTTGCCCTTGGCTGGGGCTGGCAGTCTGGCTCCCATCCCTGATGAAGAGACATGATGGTTCCTGATGGTTCCTGAGAGAAAACAAAGCAGAAAGCTACTGTAAGCACAAATAACAACAGCTTTCAAGGGCAGCAGGAGTGCTTGGAAATAAAGATGTGCCAGTGCTGATTCCACTTATAAATCGTTTAAAGGACTGTAGGGCATTTGGGCACCACTAGCAGAGCAGGGACGCGGGTGGTGCTGTGGGTTAAACCACAGAGCCTAGGACTTGCTGATCAGAAGGTCGGTGGTTCGAATCCCCACGACGGGGTGAACTCCCATTGCTCAGTCCCCGCTCCTGCCAACTTGCAGTTCGAAAGCACCTCAAAGTGCAAGTAAATAAATAGGTACCGCTCCAGTGGAAAGGTAAACGGTGTTTCTGTGCGCTGCTCTGGTTCACCAGAAGTGGCTTAGTGATGCTGGCCCCATGACCTGGAAGCTGTATGCTGGCTCCCTTGGCCAGTAAAGCGAGATGAGCGCCACAACCCCAGAGTTGGTCACGACTGGACCTAATGGTCAGGGGTTCCTTTACCTTTACCTTAAGGTAGTCTCTATGGGAGTATATTGTATTTAATTATGGGGTGTCCAAATTTTTAGGGGGCTAACCAGGCTGGGATAGCAGGCTTGTTGGTTTCTGAATGTCTGATGTAGATTTTCAATTTCATTGAAAATGTCCCTTTTCCTTTGCCTAGCAGAGCAGTTAGATATGACAGTGGGGAAAAGATAATGATTAAACAGTTATTTTACAGCAAACAAACAAAACATGCATGGGGGGGGCTTTGGGGGGGACCCAATTAACGCTGTGGGGGTTGGGTGTGCCCTCTTGGCCATTAGTTGGTCAGTGTGGTCTACATCTTTGATCAGCTTTCTTTAACCAGAAATTTGGGCCGAGATTCTGGTGCCCTGAGTCTGGGTTAAGCCTCCTGTGTTGTATTTATATGGATCTGTTAAATCTGTCACCTAAAAATGAGATGAAGCTGAAGGATGTTCTTTGAATTTTAGTGCATCTTCTTTTTATGGTAATTGAAGAACAAAAGTTCAGTACACTGGTAAAGCTTTTACTGGACTGATCTAGTGGTTGAACAGTCCTCCATGGGGGAAAAATATATCTGAATGTAGAAAGCTAGTGTGACCTAGGAGGTGGATTCAATCTCACCTTCTCCCTGCCATCTTTCCATCTATCTAAATTTTCATGGAAGAGCATCCCCTCATGCATACCTGAACCTGTACAGCCTCAGAAAAAGCTTTACCAGTTGGTTCTGGTCTTCAGTCAGGAAGGTTTATGCTGGGCCAGTCCTACCTTGAGGCAGAGTGCGGTAGCTGCCTCAGATGGCAAATTCTGAGGGGTCAGAAAGGTGTGGCATGTGGTTTGCCCTGTAGCCCCTAAGCTAGCTTTCTGCCCCAGCATGGCTGGCATACCAGTGAGGCAATCTGAGATGATTAGCCTCGGGTGGCATGACTCTCCCACTCCACCAGGGCATGTGTCTGCTTCAGGAACAGGGAAGCATTGGTCTCATCTCTGACACCAAAAGGTCTTGGGCCGGCCCTGGGTATGCGGGATAAATTTGCAGCAAGCATCCCGATTTTGCTGAGAAACAATCACAATGCAAGCGTATGGCAACACTGCTGAAATAAAACCGCTAAGCTGGGCTGGGGGGTTGATCTGTTTACTTATGTGCAAAGAGCCAGATCCCAGTAGCCAAAAGAAATTGGATGAGCCTTTAAGCCTTTTCTGTTGACTGCATTCTATTTATATTATTTTTTAATGAGAATATCATCTGTAGAGTTAAAATAAAAAGAGCCTTTCCTCGGAGGAGCTGGAGGAATCTTCATGTAGGGATATTGATTTTTGTGAGACGGAGATTTTAAGCAGAGATTTTAAAGAAGCTCAGGTGTTTTTGTTTTTGAGCAAACATAGATTGCTGTTTGTCACTAATTTCATGGTTGACTTCAGGGTTTTAAATTTTTTATCTCAGATGTGATAGAGCATATAAAATGTTTGCTTCCATCCCCCTGCTTCCTCCTTTGCTTGGTGTGTTTTTTTTTCAAGGAAATCTACAGACTGAAGTCTGAATTACAGCCTTTATTTATTCTTTTAGAAAAAGAAAAATGTATCAACCACTTGTTTAAAAACCATATTTTCTTTTTCTTTGGTGATCACTCATAGCCGAGTAAAATGGTCTTTCATGAACACTGTCTTAACTGTGAGTCCATAAGTGACTGTGGAGGTCAATTCTGGATCCACATGTCCTTCCACAGTAGGTTTCCAGGTGGGAGCTGATCACGGTGAGGGTTTGCCAAACATGCCTTCCTTTTAGCACATTTCTCCCTTTTGTCCTGAGTTTGAGCATCTTCAAAGTCCAGGACACCTTTGCTAAAAGCTGTTCTCCAATTGGAGCACTCACAGGCCAGTGTTTCCCAGTTATCAGTGTTTATATACATTTTTAAAGATTTGTCTTGAGAGAGTCTTTAAACCTCTTTTGTTGACCATCAGCATTATGCTTTCCATTTTAAGTTCCTTTGGAAGAAAATAATCAGGCATCTGAACAACATTGAAGTTGACGTTGAAAAATCATTGATTCAACACTGGTAATATTTGCTTCTTCCACAACGCAGAGTACTAACAACTATACGATTACAGCTTCTTCCAGTACACTGGAATTAGTTTGCCTGTTTTCCCAATGTAATTTTTTTTTTTTTTGAAACACCGTTGATGGAATCTTTTGAGGAGTTTGGGATGGCGTTTATAAGTGGTCCATGTTTCACAAGCAGTAGTAAGGTTGGTAGTACAATAGCTTTGTAAACAAGCATTTTGGTTTCCCTGTGAATGTCCTGGTCCTCAAACACTCTGCACTTCAGTTGGAAGAAAGCTGCACTTGCAGAGCTCAGGCGATGCTGGATTTCGGCATCAGTGTTGGCCCTTGTGGAAAGATAACTGCCCAAGTAGGAGAAATGATTGACACTTTCCAACGTTACACCATTGAGTTGGGTTTGCCCAAGCTCCTAATGCTATGCCTCAGTTTTGAGTTATACCTGCATGAGGTTGCTGTGTTAATAGCAAAAATGCATTATAAGGTGGGCCACATGTAAGCACAGATATATTAGGATTGAGTGTAGGAATACCTCAGTTTTCCTGTTCTTCTATATGTGGGGTATATATTGGAAGAGTGAAGAGACTTCCTAGTTTGAAATAAAGAGGAAGTGCCAATTGTATGTGCAATTTTGAATAAGGTAGCATATTCTAATAATTGCCATGGGGATCTACCGTATTTTTCGATCTATCTATAAGGCGCATCAGACCATAAGACGCACCTAGTTTTTGGAGGAGGAAAACAAGAAAAAATAATATTCTGAATCTCAGAAGCCAGAACAGCAAGAGGGATCTCTGCGCAGCGATCCCTCTTGCTGTTCTGGCTTCTGGAATAGCTGTGCAGCCTGTATTCGCTCCATAAGACACACACACATTTCCCCTTACTTTTTGGGAGGGAAAAAGTGAGTCTTATAGAGCAAAAAATACGGCAATTGCAGTCTTGCTAATTCAAAATGTTGTGCACAGTCTAAAAGTAAGGGACGCTCAGCTGATGACCTCCGATTCTCCTAGCTCTAGGCATTCTTCCTTCTCTCTCACCAGCAGCATGGCCACAGTCCCATACTGAAAGAGGCAAAGGCAGGGGAAGACCACAGGGGCTATGAAAAGGCTGCCCCTGCTCCAGATGGCATGCTGCAGTAGTGATGAAGCTGGCACAGCACCATAGTTTGTTGCAGCCTCGGGTTGAAGAAGCGGGTGATGGAAATGATCCAGGTGGT